GCGTTGAGGCGATCATGACACCAGTTACATTCCGCTTGCGCTTACCTATTACTTGGAAGCTTCATAACGCTTTCCATGTTCAGCTGCTGAAACCCTACACGGACCCCAACCAGCAGTTTACGGGACGACAACTACCGCCACCACCACCTGTTCTCGTACAGGATGAACCAGAGTACGAGGTGGAACGAGTTCTCGCTCATCGACGCAGACGCGACAACACGCTCGAGTTCCTGATACGCTGGAAGGGATATGACCCATCGGAGGACAGTTGGGTTGCAGAAGCTGATATGGGCAACGCACGCCGTGCTCTCAAGGACTATCTTGTCAAGCAGGGTGTTTCTCACGCCACCCAGCTTTGAGGGGGGGACGTGTGAGAGTACGACGGCTTATGCTGGCTTTGCTAGCTTGCCTGGACTTTATTATGTTATTACTAGCTTAGCTTTATCTTGCATGCTTTTGCTTGATTTCCTAGATTCGTTGCCTTTACTATAGTTATTATAGTTGTAGGCACCGAATTCTAGGCTTTTCGGTTGCCACCGAATTGCCTTCTACCGAATTCGGGAAGGACCCGTTCGGGACGCTTCGCGACCCGCGGAACCTTCTAGTAACACTCGGGTTACTGCCTTTGTGTCGAGCCTATATATAGCCTCGCCTTGTACCCAGGTGAATCATTCAATAGAATCATCTTTCCTGAACCAGATCCTCACAGTCGAGCAGAGCGTTGCTGGTCGACAAAAGTACTTGTCTCCTTAATTTGCAATGTGCGCGAATTTCAACCAATCGCGGAACAGCAAATTCACAACGTCACCACACTCTGAACACAAGCAAAGGCCACAAGGCCAGTTCACATGCAGAGCTATATATATAGAACAAGACAAGCAACACAGTGATCAAAACCTAGCAAGCATGCAGTGATATCTATAAATCACAGTACAAAGAAAGTCAAGCAGTAAGCAAATGAGGTAATGTGGACACAAGGCCTAACGCAGTACAGTGCCGCTGATGATCACTAGGCGGAAGCGCCTTGGTGAAGACATCAGCAGTGTTGGCCTTCGAGTCCACGTACACAAGACGAAGCTGACCACGCTGCTGCAGCTCTCGAGCAAGAAAGTAGCGAAGAGCAATGTGCTTCGTTCTGTGCTCCAGTCTGTGCTCTTGACACAAGGCAAGGGCCGCCTTGTTGTCTCCGTACAGAACTGGAGGAGAACTAGGCCGCTCTCCCAAGTCAGTCAGCAGGTAGGTGAGCCAGCGTAACTCCTGTGCAGCCATGGCCGTGGCGTAGATCTCAGCCTCACAACTAGAGCTGAGAACAGAAGAAGAGCGGGTGGACCGCCAAGAGACAGAACCAGAGCCAAGGCTGAAAGTGTAACCCTGTGACGACCGCTGCGTAGCCAGGTCGTCCACCCAAGAAGCGTCTGAGTGACCAGTGAGGGCAACTCTGTCGCGTCCTCCAAGCACCAGCCCCATGCCTGATGTACTGCACAAGTAGCGCAGCACCCTCTTAGCAGCCTCCCAGTGCTCTCGCCTGTGTCTCCCAGGCGCGACGTAGCGAGCAAGGATGCTAAGAGGGTACGCGAGGTCAGGTCGCGTGCAAGTCATCAAGTACATGAGGCAGCCTACAAGCTCTGGGTACGGGCCACTCGGCTCTACGGACTCGTCCAAAGGTGGAGCTGAGAGCGAGTGACTGGTAGCCAGAGGTGTGGCCTGAGGTGAGGAGAACTGGAAGCCGAAGCGCTGAAGGACCTGCTGCACCATGTGTGACTGAGTCAGGAAAATGGTGCGGCGTGCTCTGTCCCGGATGATCTGCAAGCCAAGGTAGCTGCGCAGCTCACCCAGGTCAGTGCAGGTGTGTCTCTTCTGCAGCTCCGACTTCACACGAGCGAGTGCCTCAGTGTCAGCAGTAGCAAAGACCAAGTCGTCGACGTACACGAGGATGTAGAATGGCGGCAGCGAAGTGTCAGTGCGCAGAAACAGCGACGGGTCAGCTGTCGAAGGAGCAAACCCAAGTGCCGCAAGCGTCGTCCTCAGTGTGTCGTGCCACTCGCGCGGCGCCTGGCGGAGACCGTAGACTGGCCGCCGAAGGCTCCACTGGGTACCAGAAGGGAACGACCCAGTGAAGCCAGGAGGGCGGCGCAGCCAGATCTCCTCGTGGAGGCTGCCCTGCAAGAAAGTTGTGCTGAAGTCAAGAGAGTGAAGCTCGTAGTCACGCTGAGCAGCAACGTGCAGCAACACCCGAAGAGTGGTCATCTTCGGGGTGGGGGAGAAGGTCTGAAAGAAGTCAACTCCCTGTCGCTGACTGAAACCTCTAGCAACGTAACGAGCCTTGAAGACAGGCGGAGAACCCGGCGGCCGCTTCACCCTGAAAATCCACATGCCATCGACGATGTTCGCCCCTGGAGGGGGAACCTCGTCGACGTAGGTGCCTGTGGACTTCCAGGATGCCATCTCTGCGTCCATGGCTGTCTGCCACTGAGAGGAGTAGGGACCCGAGATCGCCTCTGCGTAAGAGCGCGGAGTGGGGATGTCTAGTGCATCTGGGTCTCCCTCAGGGGCAAGCAGCCAGGCCACGAGATGAGGTACAGCAGCCGCAAGAGAGTCAAAGTCCTCCTGCCTGTCCTCAAGGACGTCCATGCCAAGAGCACACTCACCCCCAACGGACGGAGGACAGACAGACTCAGACTCAGCAACAAGACTTGCAGTGTAGTCTAGACGACAGACAGCAGCAAAGTCAACAAGCTCAGCGACCAGGGCAGACGCAGCAGCCGACTCAAAAGACGGGTCAGTGACAGCAGTGGCTAACAGACGCGTGACGGTAGGGTGCTCAGCACGAAAACGGTCAGACGCAGGGTCCGGAACGTCAGGCAAAGAAGACGCAGGAGGAGACGGCAGAGGAACCGACTGTGGTACAGAGGAGGGACGACGGACGACAAGGCGAGAACCAGCAACAGGCGGCGAACGTTGGTGTGAGACGCGGCGAGCGGAACGACCAGAACGAACAGGCGAGACAGGACGCGACGCAGGCTCACGACGCTCAGTAAGACCCCCTGACTGCTCAGTGTAAGGAGAAGGAGCAGGCAAGGGCGAGCCAGGCAGTAACGGAAGACCAGTAGAAGACGGAAGACTAAGAACCTGGTGAAGGACAGAGTCAGACGGCGGCAGAGACGACGGCGACGGCGGAGCGAAGAACAGGCGCGACTGTACAGTACCGCCAGCACCAGCAGCTCCAGCACCTCCAGCGACACCACCACCCCCAGTGTCAGCTCCTCCAGGACTGTCCCCACTAGCAGCAGCACCCCCAGAACCAGCACCTCCAGTCCCAGGGTCTCCAGACGCAGCGTCCCGAGCGGTAGCACCCTCAGACACAGCACCACCAGCCCCAGCAGCTCGAGTACCAGCGGTACGAGCACCTCCGGGACCAGCGACGGGAGTACCTCCAGGAGACAACGAATTAGCACCACTCTCAGCTCCAGGGGCGGCAGTAGAGGCACCACCAGCAGTAGAGCCCGGAGCTCCAGGAGGGCGACGCTGACGGCGACCGAACCAGTCGTGCAGCTGCTGGGAGGTGAGAGGAACACGCGAACGAAGGCGGCCAGTCCAGGGCGCAGCCTCCACTGGCGACGCACCCCCAGACTCAGCACCCCCAGACGCAGCACACCCAGACCCCTCAAGCACAGGCTCAGCTCCCTCAGACGGAGCACCGTGACGACGAGCAGCTCCAGCTCCTCCAGTACCTCCAGCTCCAGTGTCTCCAGCTCCAGTGGCACCAGGCTCAGGACCTCCAGAACAACCAGCTCCGGCAGCCGCAGTACCTCCAGGACTAGCACCCCCAGAACCAGCAGCTGCAGCACCGCCAGAACCTCCAGCACCAGTGTCCCCAGTCTCAGCGCCTCCAGCTCCAGCTGCACCACGCGGAAGGCGAAAGCGCCGGACGTACCACTCACAAAGCTGCCGCTGTGTGAGAGGCTCCCGGAGAGGCGACTCAACACCCTGAGCACCCCCAGACGCAGCAACTCGAGGCACAGCACCCCCAGGCCCCACACACACGGTCCCAGCACCCCCAGGCTCCGCACCCTCAGGCTCAGCACCCCCAGGCTCTGCACCCCCAGGCTCAGCACCCCCAGGCTCAGCACCCCCAGGCTCAGCAACCCTAGCAGCACCACCCGCAGCAGCACCTGAGTCACCTGTGACCTCGACAGGCTCAGCGACGGGAGGAGGGTCTACCTGAGAGACACCTGAAGGAGCAGGACCCTGAGGGGGAAGGGGGTCGACCGGGGGGGGACCTGGAGCAAGAAAAAGCGGCGGGGGGGGGAAGGGGGCAGTGCGGTAGGGGAAGAGACGGTAAAAAGGAACCGACTCGTACGAGCAACCTCCATGACCAGGCCAATGCGGCGCTCTGCAACCCCATTCTGCTGCGGGGAGCCCGGAAGCGTGAAGGACTGCTCGATGCCCTCCGCCTGACAGAAGGCCCTCAAGAGGTCAGAGGAGAACTCACCACCTCTGTCAGAGTGCAGACGCAGGACAGGAAGCTCTGTCCTGAACCGGCGGCGGAGCTGGAGACGAACTGTGCGGATCCAAGGGATCAAAACAGCAGGGACCTCACCCTTGGTGCGCAAGGGGAAGACCGTGGTGTAACGCGAGTAGTCGTCGACAACCAGCAGAAAGTACCGCTCACCGCCCTGTCCACGGACGCGGGCTGGGCCCCACACGTCCAGGTGGAGGGTCTGCAGAGGAGCCTCGGTCGGGGGAAACGAGGAGGAGTGAGGAGCCGACGCAAGGAAGGCAAGGCGGCGCAGGCGAGGCAGGGAGGGGAGGGAGAGACCGGGGGAGACCGGACACAAGGTGACGACGGTGCATGCCACGAAGGCGCGGCAAGGAGGGGTGACCCAGGCGGTGGTGCCAGAGAAGGGTCTGGTGCGACAGGGAGCGACACTCACAGGGGTGGGCTACTAGACCTGACGCAGACACCTGACCAACAGCAGCGACCTGAGGAGACACAGTGGTCAGTGTGTAGAGACTCGACCCCGGTCGACGGGTGAACGTAGCCAGGTGACGGCCAGTCCTGGAGCACGTGAGGATCGCCACACGCTGTCCTCCAGGGGTGAAGGTGTCAACCCAGTGATCCTGGATAACAGCGTTGCTCACCAAGTTCGTAGAGAACGAGGGGAGGTGGAAACCCGACAACGAGCCAGACGGAACCGCCGGAAAGGGAAGCACAGTGGTAGACCGTGCAAGAACTGGACCCCCGGAGGGGTCAGCCAGGGAGACTGGAACTGGTGCAGGGAGGGGAGTGAGCTCAGTACTGTCACGAAAGAAGCAGCGGGAAGCACCTGAGTCAAGCGTGAAGGTGTGCAAGGCCTCAGCGGGCGCAGTACCGGAGAGCGCAGACTCGCTAGCAGGAGGGGGTGTACCGAAGGGAGTAGCCTCGGAAGGCACAGTACCTGAGAGAGCAGACTCGCTGGTACCTAGGGCAGTGGGCTCTATACCTGGGTCAGGCGGCACACACAAGTAACAGTCCCCCTCAGCACTAACAGTCAATGCATACATGGCAGCAATAATAGCATCATAATCAAGAGCAAAGATATCAACACCAGCCCTCATCAGATCAGCCCAGCGGGGGCGCTCAACCTCCTCGCCCATCTCCTCACGCCAAGCGTCGTCAAGGCGGGAGAAGCAGCGGTACTGGGTGTGGAACCTCCCACACTTCTGCCCCTTGCGTTCACCTGTGCGAATGACATAGGAACAGCGACCACTGCCTCCCGACGTCCCACGCTGAGCAAGCCACTCACGGAGCTGCTGGGTCGTCTGAGGACGCTGCTGCTGCTGAGAGGTCTGGCCCGAGCTGGGGCCTACACTCCGACCACCACCGCCGCCACTACCGCCGCTCCGACCGCCACCGCCGCCGCCGCCACCGCCACCACTGCCACCGCCGCTGCCACCGCCGCCACCGCTGCCACCACTCCCGCCGCCGCCCCCGCCCCCACCGCTGCCTCCACTCCCACCAGCACTCCCGCCACCGCTCCCTCCAGCACCGCCTCCTCCTCCACCTCCCCCACCACCTCCCCCCCCAGCGCCACCCCCGCCACCCTTGCCCCCCTTGCCCTTGCCGGTGCGGCGCCTCCCACCAGGAGCAGAAGCAGCGCCAGCAGACTCAGCACCAAGGAGGTCAACAGCAGCAGCGTAGGAGGGAGCGAGGGGAGAGGGAGAACACCCCTCAAAGATGGGGGTGCGAGGAGCGCCACGAGCAGCACCTACAGCTACAATGCTCTTCTCGGCTGCTAGCAGCTTCTCCTCTAGGAGGGCGACTGTGAGCTCAGTGGGACAGCGGGCAAGGAAGTAGTCTCGGACTGAGCTGAGGGTGTCAGGGAGACGGGTGACTATGAAATGGAGCGTCCAGTACAGTGGAGGGGGGTTCTTAGCGCAGAACTCGGTGGGAAGGGCGGCACGCAGGCGAGCGTCACTAGTGCGAAGGTGGGTGATGAGATCGGCGACTGTAGCAAAGGTGGACAGCTCAGGGAACAGGTAAGGCAGCATGAGGCGGCTAAGCTCGGCTGTGGCAGGTGAGGAGTAGCGAGCAACGACAGCGTCGTACAGGGCCTTAGCGGTTTTGCAGTCGCCAAAGTGCTCTAGCTCAGCGAACGGCAGGTGACTGCGAATAGCCAGGCGAGCTGCAGCGTCACGAGTCTGCCACTGGGAACGTACACTAAGCTCGGCTGTGGCAGCAGGAGCAGCGGCAGCACCAGACGCGTAGTCATAGAGGGAGACGTGGTCCGTGCTATTGCTCATAAGATACAACTGCAGGTCGTCGAGCCAGGAAGTGAACTGCACGGGACGGCCCTCAGCATCGAAGGAAAGAACGCGAATAGAGGCCATAGCTCAGGCGTGAGGGCACAGCAGAGCAGCGGCAGCAGCAGAGGGGACGCGCTAGAGCGAAGCTAGCAGCCGCAGCAGGAGCAAGCGGCGGTGCACGGGCAGGGAGCAGCAGGCGAGGCGGGCGGCGCACGCGAGTGCGTGGGGCCGCGGGGCTACGCGCGTAGGGGAGAAGGGGCGGCCGCGGCAGCATCAGGGCTGGCGGCTGGCGGGTAGGGCTACGGGCGGGCAGCGCGACGGGCGGGCAGCGCGGCGAGCGGGCAGCGCGGCGGGCGGGCGGGCAGCGCGACGGGCGGCGATACAGCGCGACGGGCGGGCGACGCGGCAGGCAGCGCGACGGCGGGCAGCGCGGCGGGCAGTGCGGCGGGCTGCGCGACGGGCGGGCGACGTGGCAGGCAGCGCGAAGGGCGGGCAGCTAGGGCGCACGAGGGCGCTAACGAGGGGCGCACGAGGGCGCTAACTGGGGCGCGTGAAGGCGCTAACGAGGGGCGCGCGAGGGCGCAGCGAGGGCGCGCGAGGGCGCTAACGAGGGCGCGCGAGGGCGCTAACGAGGGCGCACGAGGGCGCAGCTAGGGCGCAACGAGGGCGCATCGAGGGTAGGGCGCGGGGTAGCGTGGTAACCGCATGCGTGCGACGGTGGGCCCTAAAAAAAATATCGGTAGGTCCTAGGGACCTCCTGCTCTGAAACCATGTCAGAATCCTAGGCAAGAATGAATGGCATTGAAAGGAGAACAAGAGTACAAGTACCTAACCCTAATGGGGTTGTACCCTATATTGTCTACCCCACTACAGCCTACCAACACATTATAATTTAACAATTGTCTGAGGAATGTTTCTCTAGGGCTCATTGTTCTTGCTATTTGGTTCTCCTTGCTTGTACCATAATCTTGTTCTATCAATTTTTCTTAGTCAAACTATGCTTGAATTCTATCAAGGCATTCCAACATTCTGTCAAAGAATCACTGCCAGAACTCTGACTGTGCATCCCACGCAATTCAGCTCTCCCTTAGAATAGTATTCTCCGCATGGTGCGGTGAGCGTGGAACGGCCCCGCGTTAGAACCTTCAGAGTAGCCGACTTTAGCGCTCATTACCTAAGTTGTTGTAGGCCGGCAGCCGTCTAGACCGCCATGGTCGACCAGGAGGAGGTCGCTGCAGGCGTAGAGGATACCCTGCAGGCGCGGTTAGATGACGTTCGGGCACGCCACGCAGCTGGCGAGTACGGCGGAGCGAACTTGGATGTTATGCTCTTTGGAACCCGCGTGCAGTGGGCGCGCGATCATCCAACGACCCGTACTGTGGCGGATGGTCTGCCCGCCACTCCCCGACCGGCGCACAACGAAGGGGACGTCGACGACCAGGTCGACGGTGGTGACCAAGTCGGCAGCGAAGGCAGCACGAGGGTTCGTGGAGTGATTCGGGCCGCTGACCTTGGTGTCGGCGGAATGCAGGCGCGGGTTCAGCATCCGCGGTAGCGGGAAGCTCGAACGGCAACATCGATGGTCGACGCCTTTCTCCTCAGCGGAGTGGAGCCAGGCCGACTTCGGCAACTCATGCGTCGGCTGGTCGAGACGGAGGCATCGCCGGACAAGATCGCTGTGCCGAAGCCGCTCGAAGGACGACATGACTTGATCACATGGATTGAGTCAATCGAACCCCAGCTGGAGATCGCCGGATTGAAGAAGTTCGTTGACGGCAAGGTGGAGATGCCGGACGAAAAAGACTCTGAATTGTTGGCGGAATTTCGCGCTGCTCACCTTCTGACCTTCATGGTCCTTTCGAGGTGTTGTTCGCCGCTGGTGCAAGTCGCGCTGAAGCCGTGCCGACTTCGAGTGGATGCCGGCTACCAAGCGTGGCAGTACATCATGCGCACCTACAGAGCGACCGACGACCTCTACATCAGCCAACTGGAGAAGAAATTGGCCAACATTCGCATGGGCGAGCAGGAATCGGCGACCGAGTACTGCAATCGAGCGCAGGAACGCGAGAGGCCTTCGTCGAAATGAAGCCAGGAGGAGACATCCGTCACGTGCGCGGATTCAACGGGGCGCTTCAGAACGTCGAAGGCCGTGGCACAGTTGCTCTGGAAGGGGAGACCGGGAAGCCGATTCTCATCCCCGACGTGTTGTACGTTCCGGGCGTGCACGCGAATCTACTGTCTGCTGGTCAGCTGAAGGAAAACGGCGTGAAGCTGCAGAACGAGGGTGACGAGATGCTGCTCGTTTCCGCTGCAGGAGATGTGCTCGGTCGAGCACGCTACACCGGCCGAGTCCTCTGCACCGACCTCCGCCCCTGCTCCTCGAAATCGACGACATCTTCGACAGAGGCTGTTGCTCTGCGGACGATCGCCTCTGCGACGAAGTCGACGCTAGACAAGTGGCACCCGAGGCTCGCGCACGTCGGCATTGACACGATTAAGAGTTCGGCGAAGCATGGTGTTGCCGTCGATCTGGACATCCAGAAGTCGACCGGAGCCGACCTGCCGTATGCCTCCTGTGTCGGAGGGAAACTAGCGCGACATACATTTCCAAAGAAGGGATCGGACGCTGACAACGCCCTTGACGTCGTGCACATTGACCTCTGCGGCCCCTTCCGCGTGGCCGCCATGGATGGAAGCCTCTATTTCCTCCTCCTCAAGGACCGCAAGACCCGCTTTGTGTGGGTCCGCCCGATCGCGAAGAAGAGCGATGTGCTGGTCGTTTTCGAGAAGTGGCTGAAGGAAGTGGAGCGGCAGACTTCGAAGTCGGTAAAAAGGTTGCGCTCAGACCGCGGAGGGGAATTCCTCGGCCGGGCCTTCACCGATCTCGTCGAGGACAAGGGTATCCTCCACAACCTCACCTGCCCCTACACTCCGCAGCAGAATGGCATGGCGGAGCGGGAGATGCGCACGGTCGTCGAAGCTGTGCGGACGATGCTGCTAAACACGGGGGTGAAGCATCACTGGTGGCACCTCGCCCTTCGCCACGCCGTCTGGGTGCGCAACTGCCTCGAACGGGCTTCACTTCCTCCGAGGACGACGCCGTACGAGCTGCTGTTCGAGAAGAAGCCGGATCTCACGCTGGCGCGCGTGTGGGGCTGCATGGTGCAGTTCATGATCCTGGAGCAGCAGCGCGGCGGAAAGTTGGCACCGAAGGCACGCTGGGGAATTCACCTTGGTGTTTCGCCGGAGAGCAAGGGATGGGAAGTGCTAGACCTCACGGCCAACCGCATTGTCACAACGGTGGAGGCAATCTTCTATGAGGCGATGTCTCTGGAGGAGTGGCAAGTGGAGCACGGGCCAGCGTCAGAGCGGACAAAGGTTTCTCCGCCGACGAGTCCGTCGCTAGCGGCGATTTCGTTGCTCGAGTCCGAGGACGATGGTCCTTCTGAAGATCCTTCCCCCTCCCTTCCGCCCTCGTCGAATCCTCCTCCTCTTCCCGCCTCCCCCCCATCGCTCGCCCCCGGACTACCTCAGTCGGCATCTTCGTCGGCCGCCAACGATGAGGGGAGCATTGGTGCGTCACCTTCGGATCCGCCCATTGGCATCGCTGGCGGTCGACGTGATCTGGTCAGCGAGCAAGTCGGCGTCGGAGTGAAGTCTCCGCCGACAGGGGAGACGTCGAACAAGGAGCGCATTTCAGAGGAGCCATCGACAGGAGAGCCGTTGAACAAGGAGCGCGTTTCAGAGGAGCCGTCGACAGAGGATCCGTCGAACGAGGAGCCATCGAACGACGTTGTTGAAGTCATCGGCAGCGATGAAGGGGAGACTTCGGCCGGGGAGCAGTCCAGCGACAGCGACGTGGTGGAAGTCTCAGCCAACAAGCCTGCAGTTCGACGTTCCACCCGCTCCAACTTTGGCAAGCCTCGCGAGAAGCTGAGCTACCATGCTTGCCTGCCGCCGACCTCCTACAGCACTCTGCTCGACGATGCGCAGTTCGACGTCGACGTGCCCGAGCTCGACCCTGATATGCACGCTGACACGGAGCACCGCTGGGACATCGCTAACATGACAGTGAAGGAGGCGTTAGCGAGCTGGAAGGGCAAGGCGGTGAAAGCGGCGATGGACGAGGAGATTCGAAGTCTCATCACCAACGGCACTTGGGAGCTGGTGGAGCGCCCGCGCGGCGTCAATGTCATGAAGAACCGCTGGGTACTGACGACGAAGTACCATGTCGACGACACGGTTGCCCGCGAAAAGGCGCGCCTGGTGGTGAAGGGCTTCACGCAGGTCTACGGAGCTGATTACGACGAGACGTACGCTCCAGTCGGGAGCTACGTTACGCTACGGATTTTCCTTAGCATCGTCGCCGTCCTCGATCTGCACCTCATGCAGTTAGACATGAAGAATGCGTTTCTACAGAGCAAGCTCGATCGCGTGCTGAACATGGACCAGCCGGCTTACTACAACGATGGTACCGGCCGAGTATGCAAGCTGCTGAAGAGCCTGTACGGGCTAAAGCAGAGCCCTCTGCTGTGGTACTCTGCGCTCGACGCTGTGCTGACTGGCGCTGGTTGGAGCAAGAGCCAGGTCGACGAGGCCCTCTATTTCCGAGTTGGCGACGACGGAGTGGCGTGCTGGGTGCTCGTCTACGTCGACGACCTGCTCGCCGCCAGCAGCAGCACCGTGATGCTGAAGGAGCTGAAGGAGCTGCTGGAGGCTGCCTTTGAGCTGCGCGAGATCACCCC